GGTGCTTGACTCCCCTTTGCCCAGGTGTCTGCTGTGCCGCTTCTCTGATCTTTCTCTCCTGGGGCCCGCAGACCTCCTGGGGCTGCCCACACAGCTGGGAAGCAGCCAGCTAGATGCCTGCTGCTGGCACTGTACGCTGAGGCTTTGGGTGTTGGAGCATGGAGAGCTCAGGTGGGGTCTCCTACACTGCTCTGTGTGTCCAGGGAGGGGAGGTCAGTGCCCATGGCAGAGGCTGTGGGGCTGGTGGGAGCTGCAATGACGAGTAGCCCTAGGTTTTGGCAGCGGCATCCACAGATGTTGGTTTCTTGCTCATGTGGCTGTGTCACAGTCACGTGGATACTGCTCTAGGTCAGTGACGTCCTGGGTTCCTGCTGTGAGCAGTCCCAGCTGCAGCTGGCTGGCATGAGAAGCAGTCTGTGGACGAGCCCTTCTCGTTCCTCTCTCTGTCAACTGCACTCCCATTTCATGTGACAACCTCATTTCAAGGGGAATGGGACCAGTTCACATTATGCTTGGAATTATGAGAAGGCTCCAGTGCTGGCCCACAGCCCAGCAGGCCTCCCATGCGGAATTGCAGGGTCCCCTGATACACCCTTGTCCTCTCCAAGGGGAATATCCTCACTCCTGCCTGAGGGCCCCTTTGACACCACAGTACCCATCTCTCCTCCCTTCTCCTGGCCCATGTCCCCCTCCCCTGCATCCTTGCCATCCTCGTGGCCACCAGGCCTGTGTGCCCTGTGCCCTGATCACAAGTGTCCCCAGGGGTTGGTCAGGCCCTAGACTCCCCTCTGTAGACAGAGCCCTTGCCTGCTCTCCTTCCTGGCTGTGGCCTCAGGGCTGTGGCCGCTGCGTGGAGGGACATTCTAGAAGATGTGTCTTCTCCCAGGCTCCAAGGCCTTGCGGTCCCTGGATGGAGCAACTTGACACTTGGACCCTACCTGTTGTGGATTAGTCTATGCTGGTGCCACCAGAGGCGCATGTGCCTCCTGCCTGGGTTTGAGCTGTACACATCCAGCAGAAGGCTGGTGAATGACACACTCCTGGGAGGCCTTCTCCAGTCCTGCATCACTGATCTCTCAAGGAGGGACATACCAGCCCCGAAACAAGTGTTTTCATGGGATAGAATTTCACAGTTACTTGGGTGTGCATGCATATGCACAATGCATATAAAATTGAACCCAGACAGAACCTGTACCTGAATCAGGGCTATTGTATCAAGGTCAATACCCTGAGTCACGCTAGGCTTTCAGGGACCCTCCCATTGGAAGAGTGGTCAGGGTCCCTGAGAGCGCTCTGTGCTGTTTGGTCACCTGCTGATGAGCCTCAGCAACTTCCGAGGGAAACAATATAATCATGCTGTGGGCGCAATGGTCTCCGACAGCTGCTGGGGGGCGCTCTCCCGACACCACCCTTGGGGTGAGGCTTGTGTGTTCACACAGAACAAGGCAACTGCGAGGCGGCACCACTTAGGAGTGTGAATGCCAGCCAGCAGGGCCTCTTTCTGCAGTGAGCTACGGCCCCAAAAGGGCAAAAGCAGAAGCCACCACAAGCTCCCTGAGGCAGACTAGAAGTGGCCAGTGCCGTTCTTGCCATGCTCCATTGACCCAAGTGTTCATGGGACTGGCCCAGGTTCAAGGCAGCAGGAGCAGGTTGTTCCGCCTGGTGAATGGAGTGGCCACATACCTGCAGCCTCTTCAACCCGCAGCATGGCCAAAGTGCTGGAGGCTTTGACCATTCCACCCCAGCCCAGCCTGGAAGATGGAGCGGTGGCGGAGTTCTGGGTGTGTGAGTTGAGCTGAACTCCCAGGCGGGGCTCACCGCCTTCCCCCTGCCGGAGCCTTCCCATCCTGGCATCACCCTGGCTTCTCTCTCCTGCATACTGGTGTTTGCAATCAGAAGGTTCAGCGGCCCTTCTTGTGTGCTTAAATTAGTCCCTGTGAAAGCCAAATCATTTCATTTGTAGAGAAGGGCTTAATTGCAAGGGGAATGAGGCAAAGGGAATTCTGTTGCTTGTTTTCATGGAAGGAAATGACTGTACTTTCCCCGTCTCCTTACTCAACAGAAGCAGCTTCAGATTTGGGCTGCAATCACAGCCTTACCTGTTCTGCCCTTGTGCTCGGGGCTAGTTCCTCCACTCCAGCATCTTTCCAAGGATCTGCTCGGGGTTCCTCACACTCCTGTGCTCAGCCCAGCTGTCTCTGTGCTGGCCCCTGGGTGGGTAGAGCAACTGCCCACCTTGGCAGTCTCTGGGCATCCTGCAGGTGGAGTCTGCTGCCCTTAACTTCATGCAGGGACCTTGGCTCTTGTATGGAAGAGGCCTCCTGTCACTGTCCGTAGAAACCTACTTCAACTTGCTCCATGTTCTCACCAGGGCTGGCCAGCGATCACACTGCAGTGAGCTCAGGTCCTGGCAGTTTGCTTTGGTGCCTGGCAGAGGGAGTAGCTCCCACGCCTCCTTGGACAACGGTCATGTGGCCAGGCAGGCCCCCATACACTGTTAGGTGTCCCTAGGAAATGCAGCTGACACGCTTTCTCCTGTCCTGTTTCCATGCCCCACCTTGGTGAGTCTGACCTATCTCATGCAGTCCAGGCTGGGGTGGGCTACAGATCCTGGCAGACAACCTGCATGGCAGGTGCATCCCACAAAGCAGCGGGGAGAGTTAGGCTGTGATGTATCCCAGAATGGGGCACCAACAAGGCCTGCCTGTTCACAATGGATAAAGAAGAGTCAGCACACAAACTGGGTTTCAGACCCTAGACACGTGGCTTTGGGCTTTCCCCCTGGAATGGAGATGTCCACGCCTTGGCCAGTCAGTGCCTATCATGTGCCAGGTACTGCCCAGTGCCAGGTCAGCTGTGAACAGAGCCACGTGTCCTTGTGGAGCTGGCACTGGAGTAGTGGCAGCCAGAACATGAGCCAGCCAGATGTGTGGCATGTCAGGGGTGAGGAGAGGAAGGAGGAAGCTGAGGGCTTGAGGTGCAGGCACAGGGCAGGAGGCACCGTGAGGCAAGATGGGAAGGGGAGAAGGCCTGGGGGACGCAGAGCAGGGGGCAGCAACGCACAGGCCTGGCAGCAGGGGCAGGGTGGTGGGGGCCTGGGCGACAAGGGTGGGACCTAGGCAGGGGAACAGGGAGAGGTCAGAGAGTTCAAGGAGTCGGGGGGCCTGGGCCTCCCAGGGCCTGTGTGCAAGCCAGCTTTTCCCTGGCAATGAAGGCACCGAGTCCTGTCCTGGTGAGTCCAGAGTGGCAGGAGTGCAAGAGTGGAACTGGGCTTCTTGGGCTCAAGAGCCCTGGCGCCCGCCACCTGCCTTCTTCCTAACTCAAGGCAACAACAGTGGCTGCTACAGCTTGGAGCATTGTGAGGACTTGGGGCCACGGCACAACAGGAAGGTGTCATCACACTGACTGGGCAGTTTATGCCTAACAACTTACTGTGTTACGGGGACATAAAATGAACCCAAGGTCTTCAGCATCTAGTGGCAGAGTCCCGAGTTCCTCTCCCTGCCTCTACCAGGTACACCAGGGACCCTGGGGAGACAAGGCTGCCACCCCCACTGAACCCTGTGTCACCTTCACCTTGTCCCTGGCACATTGTGGGGGCGGGGGTGGAGAAACTGACCGGGTTGTCCTGGTATTATCCTAAAACAGCAGGGTGACTTACTGGACGCTTCCCTTTGGGGGCAGTCATCAGGAGGGGAGGTGGCTATTTTTCTTCTTTTGAGGCTCAAAGTCAATGGCATACTGGTTAAGGGGAACAGCTGCTAGCACAGGCCGTGTGCTAGTCAGTGACAAATGGCTGTGTTTACCTTCCTCCTGAGTAGAGACTCCGGGAGGTGACCGAGCTCCTGGGCAGATGTCCACAGTGGAGATTTGTGGGGGACAGCCTCTGCCTCCCTCACACCCCGAAGCTGTGTTGTCAGCGCCCACCGAGGCCTGGGAGGGCCATTTGTCATCTGGGAGGGACAGCGCTACAGTCTGCGAAGTACTCACGGTGCCAGTGAACAATACAAGCTCCTCCATCCCCAGTGCTGTCCCTACACGCCCTCAGACCCCCTCCTCAGATGAACCCTGCAGCCGGCCCTGTCCCCTGTGAGGCGGGCTGCTTCAAAGGGAGGCTGGGCGCTTCAAAGCTGGCTGCAGGGGCGCTTGCTCGGGCCTTTGTGTGGCATCAAGGAGAGAGCCGGGCCAGCGGGGGCCTTTTGTTATTTAGTTTATTTTGATCTTGCTCCTGTTCTCTAAACAGCTGCACAGAAATAGAGCCCGGCATTAGTCCCCGTCTCAGCTCACAACATGGCAGAGGGAACATCTTTCACAGGCGAAGACTGCTCATTTTCCCCCTTCTACCAGGTCCTTTGTTTGCTGATTTGCCCGCTCAGCCTCCAGTGGAGAATAACCTCGGCTGGCACTCGTGTGCCAGCGCACACCCAACAGGTAGGCCGGTGTCTGTGGCGAAGGCAGCCTTGGTGGGCTGCCAGATGCATGGGGCCCAGCTACAAAGCCACCTTTCCCCATGGCAACTGACCTTGCACTCCCCACAGAAGGTGGGTGCCAATTTCAACCACCTAGGGTGCTCCCTGCAAGCCTCCAGGGCAGGGGTGGCCTGGAGCAAGCACAGGGGTGAGGTGGGGTGGACGGGCCAGAGTCCATGGGAAGAGCCTGATCTCCTGAGATCTTTCCTCTCCTGGGTAGAAGCCAAAAGGACCAGGCAATGTCTTAGATTCTGCCTGAGCTGAAGCAGAAAGGCCCTGCTGAGCCCCACTCTTGGATCATGTGGGTCCCTGGGCACTCTGGCCTTCAGAGGCAGCCTGTGAGGCAGGGCAGTCACACTGGGTCACACATGTGGCCCCTGACAGCCCGAGGGTGGCAAGGTTAGGCATCAGGGGCAGGGCTGCCTGGCCCTGCTGGGTCTTCTAGTGGAGCTAGGGCCCCTAAGTCTACGCATTGTCATTCCTTACACGTTGCTTGGGGGCGAAAGGAAAGCAGCATGGACACGAAGCACATTCATTTTTAATAAATAGTTTATTTATCCAGCAGTTCCAACCCTGAAGCTGAAGCCTGTACCGGCGGCGCTTCCTGTTCTGGCTGGTGTCTGATTAGGCCCACGCTGACGGTGGCCGGCCCGACTGTCCCTGTGACACTGAGCACCGCTCAGAGGAGGCTGGCGCTTTAGTGCGGAAACCAACAATACCATCAAGACCAGGAGGGGCGGCTGACAGCCGCTGGAGGCAGCTGCTGCTGCTCCCCACTCCCGCTGGCCACGGCTGAGGACCTACAGGGATGGCTCGCACTTAATAAGGACTCCAGGGCGGTGTTTCCGGGGCTGGTCTCCAGGGTAGAGCCCACCAGAAGGTGGAGGCTGGCGGCTAGAGCTCACGGGCGCCGCTCTGTGCGGCCGGCAGGGGGCAGCATGTGGCCACCACGACTACCAGCCACAGTGGAAGTGGAAGTTCTGGTTCAACAGCCAGGGGCAGCCATGGTGGCAGTCAAACCAGGCGATCACATCGCAGAGGGAGCGCACTCTTGGCCTTGACACTCCAGTGACCCGAGCTGGCATCCAATCTTGCTTTTGGCCACAGGGCTGGCGTAGAGCCCACTGGGAGGCTGCCTCCGGAGGAGCCACAGCAGCAGCTCACTCCAGACCTGAGAGCCCTATTTTCTAGACAGTTTCCCTAGTCCCTTGTTCTAATTTCTAGCATCTTCCTCCAGGACAAAAGCTGTCCAGCCATGAGACAAGCGTTCTCCCCTAACCCTTGAGCTCTGGACTTGCACCCACAAAGGCACATGGAACCAAGCTGCTCCCGGCCCCCTAGCACCCGGGTCAGCCTTCCCCGCCCCACTTGGGCGGGCTGCAGGCCCACCTGGCAGGCAGTGCACATTGCTCCCACAATAGCTTAAACCATCTTACCACTGCAGCATATTTTCTCTATTCTGGAAAAACAAACCCTTCTCCCCTTTTCTGCCAGCAAAACAGAGCAGAGGGAGTGGCCCTTGCCCCGGTTCCTCCCCGCCACCCTCCAAGGACACCCTCAGGTTCCTACTGAGCTCAGTTCCTCTTTCAGGGGCTCCCAGAGTACACTCAGGAGGGTGCAAAGTCAAGGCAAGTGTGAATTCAGCACCACGGGTCTGGGACCCTCGCACGCCCCTAGAGCGGGCTGTCCCGGGATAGGCTGATGGGAGCAGGTGCCTGCCCTCCGGGCCTTATCGTTCCGAGTCAGAAAAGGAAGAGGGCTTAGTCCATCTCCACACCAGCATGTCTTCTCCAGCCACGCGGTGGGACTCCGTCTGGATTCGGGATTCATTGGAGGCCAGAAACTCCACGGCTCGGTCCCAGACCCGCTTCATGCGCCTCCTGCAACGAAAGGGGCCAGCTCGGCAGGCTGTCTGGTCCTCAGCAGCCCCGGCATGTGCTGCCTAGCCCACAGGGCACCGGCCCAGGACCATCCCACAAGGCGGGCAGATGGGCAAGCTCCCAGACAGGAGCTTGAAACAAGAGAATGTCTACAGAGGACAGAAACTTTTGGGGCTACAGAGAAGCCATCCCTCTACCTTCTCTGCTCCTCAGACATTCAACAAAAGGGAGCCACTTGCTGTCAAAACTGTCCAGGCCACCTGCCCTGGTCTTCAACTGAGGAGCTACACTGGGCCTGCTGGGCTTCGGGGGAACAGTGCCTGCAGCAGCCCTAGCTGGGCTGCCCCACTGTGGGCTGACTGCATCTGAAAGCCTGGCCATGGGCTGCTGGGGCAAACAGCAGCCCCCTTCCAAGGGTGGGGAGCAGCTAAGCAGTCAACGATGCAAGGAGGGGTGGCCTGTAGCTGGGGTCAGGGTCCTGCACCTCTTGGTGAGTTTCTCCCCTTTCCACCAGCAGGAAGCATGCTACTTTCCTACGGGGGCCTCACATCACAGGTCTCGGCCTTTCCCGCCCCAATTCCTCCCCTCACCCTATCCGCAGGGACACCTCTGCAGAGTGCCACTATAAACATGGTGCAGGGGCACCCAGGGGAGGACCAGTGCAGGCACCGGTGATGGGGGCAGTGCAGGGCCCCTTGTCTACAGTGTTCAGGCTGAGGCCCTGCACATTCCCCGAGCTCTGAGCTCCCAGGAGGATGTTTGCCTGCCCGCCACCTGCGAGGCTGAGCCCCTCCCTCCCAGGCTGCCCATTAACAGGTAATGAGAACGCCTGCCTGGAGCCAGCGGCCGCAATCAGCTTCTCCGCTTCCCTGGCTAAGCAAGCTCTTCGCATCTCCCTCGCTCCACACAAGCAGCCCTCATCCACAGGGCAGATCCGCCAATCCAGCTAATGGCTCCTCACCGAGAGCAGAGTCAAGAGACTGGGAGCCAGCACAGCTTGAGCTCTGCGGGGCTCGTGACAGCCTCAGACCCTCCAGTGGCCATGCACAGACCTGTGGCAGCTCTCAACGCCGCAGCCCACCCTCAGGAGCCTAGAGGTGGGCACTGCAATGCTGCCTCACACTCACTTCAGTGAGGATGTGTTACCAGTCACGCCCAAGTGCCAATGGCTCCTGAGGGAGAGCCTGCATGCAAGGCACAGGCACAACCAGCTGTTCCCCTCCTGGACCACCCATTCTTCTGGTGCACTGGGGTCCTGCCTCCTTCCCTTGGACCCAAGCTCTGTGGCGCCTGCTCTCTGCTGTTGCCCAGCACCCCGTCGGGGTCCAGCAGACAGCAGCATTCAGGAGCCATGGCCCAGTCAGCACACATGAGGCAGGGCAGTGGGCTCCCCCTCGTAGAGTGACCAAAGTGCAGCTCCAAGAGGCAGAGTGTGCTGCTCATAGTCACATGGTGGCTCCTGCCAGGGCTCAGAGTCTGAGTCTGCCACTGAGGGTCTCCCATGGGAGCTGCGGGTGGGCACACAGCCAGCCACAGGCTGCTCTACCTGCCACCTTTCCAGGGAGTGCATGGGACATAAAGCCACCACACACAGTGGTGGTGACGGTGACCCTCTGGTGCTCTGCCCGAGGGCTCCTGGGGAGCAGAGAGGTCATGAGCTCTGGGAGTCTGGGCAAACTTATCAGCCCCAGCTGCTTCCTTTCCTGCACAGAGGGGCACACCCTGCTATCCTACCACGGGCTACAGCAAGGACCCAGCAAGCCTGCAACTGTGGCAAACACGGAGCAGTGCCCAGAGCCCAGTGATTAATCAGTAAGCCTGGGTTCTTGGCCCCATCTGCGCAGGGAGTGCATCAAGCCTGCGGTGGCAGGGCAGTGACCCAAGCTGACACTGCTGGGCCCCCATCAGCTACCCCCAGGGCTCAGCCCCCTGAGCCCATCTGGCTCTGTCAAGGGTTATAGTGCACACTTCCAGCAGTCACCCTGCATGGGGAAGGGACCCAGCAGCTGTTCGTGACATCAGGCTGGCTGCCCCACCCAGGCACCTGTGTGCCCCTGAAGCTGCCTCTACTTTCAGGGGAAGGGGCCATTGTATATGTGTGTGTATGACTCACGGTACACACTGAGGTCCCAGGCATTGCTGTGGCTCACAGCTAGAAGCTCTGACACATACTCTCCTCCTTGCTGCTGACTGACTCACAGACAAGAAGCTAAGGCTGGCCAAAAGCTCCCAGCATGGAGCCCGTGGAGGCCCAGGAAGGCCTCCTCTCGGCTGCTCTGACTCTCCAGATGCAGTTCCAGCTGCTGCCGGGTCACCAGCCTGCCACTCCTGAGAGACCCAGCCTGCTGACAATACCCATGGGAAGATGGGACTGTGGGAAGCAGAGAAACACAAACAGAGCCCTGTGACTCCTCTGTGCCTGCAGCCAACACTAAAAGGGACTCCCACGCGCAGATCCCCGCATCCTCCAGAACCCCTGGGGATGAGGCTTCCGTGCCCTGCAGCCCTGTCACCATGGGGCCACACTGACATGCCCCGTCTAGCTCCTGTGTCCTGACGAGCTGAGCACATGAGACCGACAGCTGGAAGCGTGAACTGGCCCTCACTCATGACCCTGGGAGCTGAGCCACCCAGCAACATTCCCAAGGCTCCGGGCTTCCTCCTGTGGAGACAGCAGGTTCAAGCTCTGCTCTACTCACCGGCTCTGTGGCGGGATGAGGGTGTCACGCACGTGCAGGATGCCCACGTATGGGTAGCGTTCCATGTCCTGCTCCCAGTCGACATAGTGGTCCTGCACGACGTCTGCAGGAGAGAGCACAGCAGTCAGGGGAGGGCTGCTGCAGGCGCTGGGCAGCCCTTTCGCGTGGGCCACGTACCGATAATCTTCTTCACCATCTCGTACATGGCCTGCTCCTCCTCTTCTAGCTTCCGCCACCGGTACTTCAGCAGGATTAGGAGCCCCCACAAGAAAGCCAAGCCTGTTGGCAACAGAACACAGCTGAGCTGGAGGCTTGGATGCCATGTCCTGAGTATCTGCTAGGCAGTAGCACAAGGCTGGATGAAGGAAACAGAGCTGAAGGAGGTTAGGCAATGAAGGGATCAGCTGCCTCCTGGGCTGTCACCACAGAGCCATCTCCCTGGCTGTCATGACCCCAGCTCCTGCCAGGACTACCATGTCCTCCCTCGTGAGACAGGTCTCAGTGCTCCATGCATATACACATACAGGCTGCACCCTTTGTGTGATGGCCACAAGTGGGATGGCGTGGGCGAGGCCAGGGCAGGCACAATGCAGGCTGTGATTTGTAGCCCAGGGGAGCCACGGCCTCGCACCTTCAGAGGCACGTTAAGGCCTCAGCTCAAAGGCGGTCAGCCCCTGATGTCTGCTGATGAGAGCTGCACCCTCCTTTCCAGCTCAGCCTCCCTGCTTCTGTCAGGTAACTGTGGCGCTCCAGGACATGCTGACATTTGTTAGGGAGTAAAAGTAGGCCAGGCCCCCACTGCGCTTCCTACTCCAAGTGGTGTGTACACAGAAAGCAGACAGAGCCACGGGAAGGGGCGACGCTCGGCTGCCGTCCAGCTCTGCTGCCTCTCACGGAGGCCGACGGGGCCCTGCCCTGAATGGAGCAGCTGGTACACAGCTCCAAAGGTGAAGGTAGTGCAGGAGGAAGTGGGGGTTCTCTGCTGCTTCAACATACGAGGGTCAGGTTCACCGGACAGTGATGAAAGCGAGGTCTGGATTTCTGCACCCTGACACTGCTGCCTGAGAGCCTGCCAAGCAGGGTGCGGAAGCACTGCTGGCCAATGGCCCGGCGGTGAGGGGAGGGGGCGGCTGGCCAGTCACAGACTTACACCAGAAGAAGATGAGCACGTTGGTGACAGCTGTGAGTAGAGCGCGGCTCAGGCGGCAGCCGACGCCCATGCGGGGACGGGCCGACTCCAGGCAGACCACTTTGTCCACGGTCGTCACCAATTCAGATGGATCCTCCCCCTTCAGCCTGAAACAGGACACGGCTTTGAACATGACTGGCAGCTCGGAGAGCCACAGTGTGAGCCCCCCGCCCACTGGATGAGGAGGGTCTCAAGGTCTCTCCTTGCTCAGAGAATGGGCTTGGGATCCTGGTTGCGCTCTTTCCAGAAATTCCCCACGCTGGCTACTTAGAAAGAATAAAGCTTTAAAGACGGCAGCAGGCGGGAACCCCCACTGCTAAAGCGACGTCCCCTCTGCCGGGGCTCTGACAGCCTCTCTCAGCATGCGGAAGATTAAACTGTAAATTGGATTCCCACCTCCCAGCACAGAGAAATGGAAATGTTTACTGCATCATGGGTCCAGCAGCCACATGGCAAGAACCGAAGGACAGAGATGGGGAGGCGCAGTCGCAGTTTAAGCAAAAAGATCCCAGGCAGCTTGTGAGGCTGATGGGAAGTGAAGGGCCCCAGGCCCTCTGAGGCCGGGCCCTGGCAAGCAGCCCTCAGGACACACAAGGACACAAACGCCCAAGCCTTGTTCCTCAAGGGCACTCGGGTGGCAGTGACCTGTGGCATCCACACACGCTGAAATGGCTGGTACCCATAAGGTTCTGATTTCCAGTGACCCACGTCAACACTGGCCGTGGGAGTAGACCCAGCCCTTCCAGGCTGCCGCCCCCAACACAAAATGGTGTCACCATCCGTGAGTACCGGCGTCCCCAGTGAGTGCTGTTCCAGGTGACACTCATGTCTCCTCTGCCTCGGTTAACAAGAAGCGCCCAGCCGCTCAGAGCGGCTCTTTTTTGTTTTTTTTCTTCTCAAAGCCAGTGAATTTTAATCGTGCCGTGCATCCAGTTCTTAAGCTTTAGGTTGAGCTGCCCAAGGGGCTTCTGCTGGATGCACCGCTGATGGAATTAGTAATTTGGGCGGATTAGAGAGGAAGAGAACAAAACCCTAGAGTGTATTTTACTATCTGGAGCCGTAACCTGAACAGAGACCCCGACACAAACACTGGAGCAGGAAGGCGTTTGGTGCTGCCTGCTTCTCCGGCAGGGGGGGTCTCTCGGGGACGCCTGGCTGCCGGCTGCTGCCCTCCTCCCCCTGGGCAGGGCAGCAGGAGCTGCTTTCAGCCTTGTTAAAGGGCTTGCTATCTCTGCCATGGCTACTTGCCAATGATGACAATGCAGCGGAAACTGTGGGTCAGAAAAAAAAATCCAGAATTTTCCATCGCAATTTCCATACTGAGTGAGACCAACATACAGAATCATTTCTCCACAAACAAGAACTGGCACCCAAGAGTGGGAATGCAGAGAAAGGCAGGGCAGGAGCATGCTCAGCAAGCTAACCTCGGCATGGATGCCAGTATTCTATCTCAGAGTACTGGTTCAAGTCCGTGCCACCCCACTTTCCAATTCAGCTTCCTGCTAATGCACCCTGGGAGGCAGGCAGCCGATGATGACTCAAGTGCTTGGACCCTTACCCACCCACATGGGAGACCCAGATGGAGTTCTGGGCTTCTGGATTCAGCATGGCCCGGCTCTGGCCATGGCAGGCAACTGGTAAATGAACCAGTGGACAGATCGCTTTGTCGCCCTGCCTTTCAAATAAAATAAGTAAAAGAATAAATGCATGGTGGGGGGCAAATTTAGCCGAAGTGCCCGACTCACATGGCAACACTTGGAGTGTGCATATCTGCACAGTGTGCTCCACACGCTGCACTGCCAGGCTTCCAACCAAGCCTGCGATGACTCAGCAGGGAGATGCAGCCTCCACCGCCACAGCCAAGGTGCTGGGCTGCTGCTGGGACGGGGCTGCAGGTGCTCGCGGCTGTGCTGCCAGGCCCACACTCACCAGATGCCCACGTCCTTGTTACTGCTCAGTATCCAGGTCAGGGCAGCTTCAAACTTGGCGGAGGAGCTGCTGGTCACATTCTGTGAGAGGGGGCGGGAGAAGATTAGCTCTGTGCTGGGCGAAGCACCGCAGCAACACCACTGTGCTAGTGGATTAAGCAGGCCTTTGCCCATGTCCTCCACATGCCCCACAGCCCCGTTACGCTAAACGCACAGTGAACTGGCAGGAGGGGAGTGGAGGATGGGCGTGGGGTGATAGAGGCCAAGGAAGAAGCTATAACCAGAGGAGCTGATGAGGAAGCACACACAGGGGATAAACAAAAACAAAACAAAACAAAGTACACAGGTCTTGGGTGGCCAAAAGAATACAATTTTCTCAAGGGTTGATGCATCAGGCCAGAAAGCTGGCAGCTCATTTCAGGATAAGTGAAAGGATGTGTTGGGTTGGGGACCCAACAGCCAGGCTCAGCTGTGTGGCCTTGCTGGGGAGTCCCCCTCTCAAGGCCTCAGTTCCTGCATCTGTGAGATGCAGACTGAACTGCTGACCCCGAAGGGCCCTGTTGGCCCCAGAGCTCCCTGATTCTACCAGCCCACGGCCATGCAGGCAATCACATGGGTCCCGAACAGTCTGAATGGAGAGCACCAGAAGTGAAATGTGTGTCCCACAAGCGGCCCTCAAGGGAAGCAGAGCCTAGCTGGACAGAACAAGGAAGAGGACTGGTTAAGGAACGGGTGGCCTTCAGCCAGCTGGTTAAGGAGCAGCGGTCAGGAGTGGGTGGTTTGGGTATGCATCATAGTCCCCAGCATGGCCATGAAGTTTAAAAAGTGTGTGTGTATGTGTGTGTGTGTGTGTAGTGAAACAGTCACGAAGTAAACTCAAAAACAAAACAGGGAAAAAGCAAAGCACCTGTGGGGCTCGCCAGATCACTAGGCAAGCCCCAGGCCCGATGGCTCGCAGGGGCTCGGGCTGTCCACTTACTGCAAGATATTCCTGTGCGTCCATGACAGGAATGCATTTGCTTTTCAGCTTCTCTGGATTTCCACACTCAAAATTACCTGGGAGAAAAAAAAAAAAGGATACATTGGAAGACAAAAGGTGAGAAAAAAATTACTCTGAAATGGACTAAAAAATGCAGTGGGAATCAAGCCATCAGCTCTAATAAGGAGCATGTGGCCCGGCGGCTCCCAGCTTCCATGGGGCATCTTCACTCTGCAGCAAGATCAAAAGCCACTTAGCTTGGATCGATTCCAGATCATTAAAACCTGACCTGCAAAGCAGTGCAGCGATTTGCATTAAATGACTAAAAAGCTGCCCAATACCAAGGTCTGCTCGCGATTGATCCCTGAAAGAATCAGACAGACAGCTTCAGAATGGTACAGGAATGACGCTATAAATAAACACAGCCTGGGAAAAAGAGAAAGGCAGGGAGGCCATGGGCACCACAGAGATTTGGATCTGTGACACAGGCCAGCGACCTGGAAAGCTGGGCCCATTGTTTGAAAGGGTTCAGGGCAAAGACATCCCCAAGGCCTGTGTGGGGCACTGGGGCCGGGGCGGTTCCTTCTGGGCACCCCGGGATTGGCTGCCACCCTGTCTGGAGCTGGGATTCCCCCTCTTCATTCTGACCAACCTTCTGGGAACACCTACAAAGCCATCTACCCCCAGAAGCCCCTGGCTGTGGGCCTCTCATTCAGCCTGATGGCTCCAGAAGCAGTGGCCTGCCCAAGACTGGCTCTCAGACGCTGTGCTTTATGGGGCCTGATCAGGGCTGGGCGCACACAGAATTTTCTATGCACCCATGACTTGGCTATGTCTACACGGGGGGCAGAGCAGGGCGTAAGGTAAGATTCAGAAACCTTAAAGGTGATTCGAAGCCTGACTTCGGCCTCCAATCCAGCCAAGTCCTATCTCAAACTTCATCTTGACTTGGGGTCCCCTGAGACCAGGTTGACTTCCTGTCCTGGATCTCCACAGCCTCCTGCTTCCTCTTGCCACCTTTTCTGTCCACCGCCCACACAGTCTGACTACAAAGCTTCCCAATGACATTGTGCCACCCCAGGGCACCTGGCTGTCAGCACCCATCAGTTGCTCTTCGCAACCTTCCCTTTCCTGCTGACAGGCGATTTCCTGACCTAGGCTGGGCCCTTGGCCTTGGTGGGCTGCAGGGCCTGACACACATGCCACCTCCTTTGATGCATCTCAAAGGAGGCATCTCAGTTGTGATCAATCATAGCTTAAGTGAATGTACTTCAAAAAGAACTCGCGCAGCCCTCTCCAGCACCAGGGGCTTGGGCTGCACTGAGGGATGCCCGTGTCACCTCCACTCCGAACAGGAGCCCCCACCCCCACAGAGGAGCTCCTGGCGTCCTCTCTGTCCACTCTCAGGAAGACAGCGGTGGGAGAGCTGATGCTCTGAAGACTGATCCTAGGCCCGAGGCCCAGTACAAGCCCACTGACCAACCTAAGACCTGACCTCTGCTACCTCAAGCCAGGGGAGTCTCTTAAACTTTCAGATTGAAGACCCCCATGGGGCTCTCCTGCTGAGTAAGGCATTCACCACCCAGCACAGCCTGGGAATGCATCTGGGTTGTCAACACAGCCTTGGAGAGCCTTAGATGCCAACTGGGGGAGAACACAGGAACATGGGTGGCATGACTGACCCCAGGGAGCCAGTTCCCCACATAAAGCAGGAGGGGACCCTTCTGAAGAAATTCCCAGAGTCCTAATGTGGGGCACTAAGGCTATCCCTCAAGGGATCAGCGATTGTCTCAATTTGTGGAGGAAACAGATTTGAGGTCACTGGTCAGACATGGGAGCTGGAAACCTCGAGTGAATCAGGGACTTGTCCTGGGTCCTGAAGCCATACAGGGGAACAGGACTGGAAGTGACATTAGGGTCTACCCCACAGAACACCTGTCATTGCATGCATGGCATCCTCTGCCCTGGCCCAGCAGGCCAGCTGGTTCCAAGAAGCAGTCCACAATCTAGAAGAACTGGCCTAGCACATCTGATGCCAACACAGGGCCCCAAGCACTGGGTGGCAGGCTCCCCACAGGTGGAAGACCACCTGCTACAAGGGTTGTGCCTTGCAGGAGATCAAGAATCAAAGGATTCTGCACAAAAGCAGAGCTTAAAAATGAGTCTCAGCGGGGAGGTGAGAAGGCCAGAGGGGCTCTGACTACAGCAATCACCATGCTCCACCAACCAGGATGGTAGCCTGCATGCCACCCAGGGAGCCCCGAGACTCTGGGCCTACTCACCAGCTTGGATGGCCAGGAAGTTGTAGAGCTCATGCAACAGCTCCAGCAGGGCTGCCTTCTGCTTGGCCTGGCAGAACTGGAAAGGCACGGGACACCAGTCAGTGGGGCAGGAGGCGCTGCTGGCTGCTCTGCCCTTCCCGCCAAGGAACTTGCAAAACAAAGACAAGCTCTGCCAGGAGCTGGGCCCTGGAGACAGCTGCCAAACAACCAGGTAACTGGCAGGGAAGGAGGTGGAAAAGAGGGGTCGGGTATCCTGGAAGCTCCTGGCTTCCGCCTGCAGCTCCCCTCAGAAACAAGCCAGGCCGCAGGGCTGAGGAGCCAAGGGGATGAAGAGGCCGAGGAGTCAAGGAGTCAGGCTGAGGGGCTGAGGGGCCAAGAGGCTTGGGGGACAACCTGCTGGTGTTTGCGGAGTTTGGGGCAGACAGGGAAAATTTGGCTCACTGCGGTCTCTTCTCCCCCCTGGGCCACCGCTGTCCACCTAACTAACCTGCCAGCCCTCCTGAGACAGGACTGGGGTGAGGACTCAGTTCAAGCTCATGTACATTCAGTACAGGCAGGAAATGGGGGAGGGAGAGGTGGGCACAGAAGGACACCTGAAGAGGTGGGACCAAAAGACACACCCACTGCCGGACTGTCCCTGCGTTCACAGCAGCACTGGGGTGGAAGAGTAATGCAGGAGCAATGGGCCCACACCTGAGGGCAGGAACACAGCCCTGCAGCTGGGGGGCCTGGCTAGGTCCGCAGCAGGCTGGAGGTGCGCAAAGCATGAGGCCACAGCCAGCTAACAGGCCTCGGCCTCCCTATTCCTGGGTCCTCCATCCGCACAGGGCAATGCTTTCGGGCAGGCTGGAACGTGACCCACAGCAGGAAGTCCCAGCAGGCAGGTACTGGGTGCCATGTACCCACTAAGCACGGCTTCAGCAAGGTCCCTGAGGGGCCTGCCTGGGCTCCTAGGATGCCTCCTGGGAACATGCCGTGCTCAGAGAGGGGCCAGGGAGCAAATGTGTCCTTCCCTTGTGGACCTGAGAAATTTGGAGATATTAAATTAAAATCCAGGATTCCTGTTCTAACTAGACAGACAAAATGAACATCACCAGAAAAGTCTTAAACAAAAGCCAATTTTTTTTTTTTTTCTGTTTTTGCTTAGTCTTCAAAATTCTAGCTTCCCCTCTGGCCATCTATGTTTCTGGGCCACTTCTTCTCATTACCAACTGTGAATTTGATGATAGAAGGCAAATTGAACTTACTATGAATCTGTTTTTACAGAACAATTGGGAAGCAAAGATATCTGCCACATGAATGCAACAAATTGATGCAATAAAACACTTCCAACTACAACACATTGGAAGTCAAAGAGAAATAAAAACGGATATCTGTGCCCCCTCACTAACCAAGGTAGGCAAGGCAACTGAGGGGTACAACCACTGTCAGTCCTTGGGCCATGAGGCCTGGCACCACACACTCCCTAATTACACCATTAAGTCATGCCCTCTGGCAGCACAAGACTCCTGGCAGGATTTATGACCTGGGAATTTATTGCCCCGTATCTGTGTCTACCTCCAGGACCAGGCAGACATGGCTTCTGTGACTCAGAGCATGGGGCCCGCTTGCCTTGCCCTGACATTATTTGTAGAGAACATCAGAGCTGCATCAAACAGATTCACACCAAGACCAAGAGGGCTGATTCCACTTCTGACGACAGACACGTCCGTGACAAACCAACCCTGAGCCAGTACACAGGGCAGTTCTAGAGCCCTCAAAAGACACACACACACACACACACACACACACACACGACAGGTGGAAAGGGTGGTGCTGAGAACAGTGCCCTCAAGGGCTGGCGAGGGCCTTTTGGCAATAACCCACAGCATACCCTCAGATCCACACAGACATGGGATCAAAGCCCCTGGTGCAGCACTGCATGGGAAGGCTTTGGTAACAAGCCCGGGGTCAGACTGTGGGAGCTCAGCTCTGCGGTTCAAGTGTTCCTTCAAGGCTACGATGGAGTCTGCCACAACGCAGTTCTGGGGTCACTCACCTCATCTGTTTTCTTCTCACAGTCCACTGGCAACAATTTCACTGAGACCAAGAAAAGAAAACAGGAAATTAAAAGTGTGCATTGAGAGGAAGCATACAAAAGGCCACTCTGGAAATGCAAAACATTGACCCAGGGACAGGGTAGTGAAAGGAAGCACGTCTACACTGTAGGCAGGTGAAAGCTGAGTGCATCCCCCAGCCTGCATTTAAGAGTCAGACTATCCACGACCACAGCCCAGCTGAAAATAGTTAGGCACAGAATCTGGGGCTACTCGTCCTCTATGAACCTGTTGGGATGGCTCTGTAGACCATCCACAGTGCGATGTTCAACAAGGACCCTAACCAGTCCTCTGCGGGGAGCACACAGGTGGAGCTCAGCATACATCTGCACCAGAGGATGGGTACACACTAAACTCCACTGATTCAGTGCTGACACCCCAGTCTGCCTCGTGTCTCTAGAGTTGACAAACTGCAATCACAGAAACCATCTGGGCGTCTGCCATGCCCATGTCCACAGACTGCACACCGCCCAAGGTCCACCTGGCACACAGCAAGGACAGAACCGAGCTATGCCTGTATGTCCTTTGGTCCTGCTAGGCATGGAAAGACATGGCCTTGCCTGGAGTCTGGAAACAGTGTTAACCATACTCCTGCTTTGTAAAGAACATTAGAAGTCCAGAGCTACTTTAAATTCAGAATGGTCTCTATGTTATTTCTGTTAAAACTTCTCCAGAAGCACACTCCCCTCCCACCCCCTACTCCGTCAGTGTGTTGTGTCCTGTGTCCGTGCTGTGCAGAGGTGCATTTCCCACTTAGGAAATACAAGTCCCCAGTTGTTCAGGAGATGCACACTGTATCCTAGAAGACCTCCCATGAGCACCTGCCATCCTGTTGCCAAGTGTGGTCACAGCCCCTATCCACACCGCAAGCTAGGGGGACACTTCCCAGGGACAGCAGCTTAAACTCTTCAGCAGGGCCTTCTTGCCTGGCCTGGGCGGTAGAGTTAGCACAATCTCCTTTGGCAGAGCAAGGCCTGTGGTCCAAAGCAGGGGGCAGGTGGCCTTTTTGAGCAGATCCCATCAGTAGGCTAGTGGAATCAGGGGTGCCTTCACTTGTAGGGGTGAGCAAAAGATTAGAACAGAAGAAATACACAGAAAGAGAAGGCGGGCCTGTTAGAGGGGGGAAAATCAGAGAGAGGCTGGGGCAAAACACTCCACTCCCCGCCCCCCAGCACGTGGCTGCAAGCAAAGTGTTAGACGGAAGAGCCAGGGTGGAAAAGCAGAACAGGAGACCGCGAAGGCAAGCATCATGGCAGTGGCTGGCAAGGAGGAAAGTCAAATTCTGGAGGTGAGAAGACAGGCAGGGGACAAGGGCGGCCGACGGCACGGGGACCCTCCCCTGCGCCGGCCCGGGACGTACTGTTGTCCTCCGCCTCCTGCGGCGCCGAGGGCTTGCCCATCTTCACCCACAGGATGCCCAGGAAGATGAGCAGCAGCCCCACGCTGGCCCAGAGCAGGAGCCGAGACAGGCAGCGCTCCAGCCAGCGCCCCACCTCAGGCCGGGCCCGCGCCGCGCCCGCAAGGCCGCCTCGGGCCGCCCGCAGGCCGGGGCGCGGGTCGGGGCTGAGGAGAGAGGAGGACGGCCGCGCCGGGGAAGGGGACGCGGCCCACCAGCGGCGGCCCGAGAGGCCCGGGCCCAGCGCGGCCTTGTCAGGCGTCCGGGCGTCCTCATCCTCCTCAGAGCTGCCCCGGACCGAGGGGCGACGGCGGAGCGGCGCGGGGCGCGCAGGGTACGCGAGGCCGCGGCTCCCGGCCCAGGAAGCCGCGGAGGCCCCGAGGTCGCCGTAGGCCCCGGGTTTCGGGTGGGCCGAGGCCGGCGGGGAGAGCCAGGGCTCCGCCCGCGGAGGGGCCGCGGTGGGCCGGGCGCGCTGCGGTGCCTCCTCGCGTAGCCGGGCCTCCTCCCGCAGCCGCAGTTCGCCTCGCGGCCGGGCCTCCTCCCGCAGCCGCTGCTCGTCGCGCAACCGGGCCTCGCCCCGCAGGCGGCACAGCTTGTTGCGGTAGACGTCCCGAGTGGTGTCGGTGATGGGTCCTGGCTGAAAGCCGAGGGCCTGCAGCTCCCGCCGCAGCTCCAGGTCCGACAGGCCGGCCATGGCCAGGACGCCGCCCCCCGCCCGCCCCCAGCGAACACCGCACCCGGAACTGCTCCCGCCGACAGCCGCGGCGGAGCGGGCGGGGCCGCGCGCCATGATGGGAAGGTCGTGGCGCCGCCATGTTGGAAGGGTCGGAATGCCGCCATGTTGGAAGGGTCAGCCCGCGGCAGGTGTGCCGGCCATGTTGGGGAGGTCGAAGGAGATATTTCCACCACCCTCCCTTTCACGTATTGTGGCACCCTCCCCCTCGCCCTGGTTTGTTAGACCCAGCAGTGTTTTTCTCTGCCTCTTGCGTCTCTACCGCGGTCCTTGGCAAGTGGTAGGCATTCAATAAAGTGTTGATGTAATGGATGAATTGCTTAATGGTGAGAGACAAGTCACTGCCCAGCGCCAGAGACACAATCATTCGCCTCTTAGTGCTGGGAACCTGTGTGTGATTGGGTTTCATCTGAGTCATGGAAGGCACCCAGACTCGCTCCGAGACTGCCTGGGCCCAGGTTGAGCCCCGCGTAGGGGAGGAGTCTGCAGGGGACACAGACTGGACACAGACTTCCCAGCCCAGAGGGTCCTCCCTCGTGTGACTGTGGAGCCAGACGACCTGGGGCTGCCAAGATGGGGCATTTTTGTGGAAAAGAGGGACAGAGGCAAACCCCAAGACCCACGAACTTGTCGCCACCAACTTGGGCTTAGCCTTGAACTGTGAAGCCAGACAGTTGCACCAGCTCCACAGCTATGGGGTGTGCGATCCTATGGGACAGCGGGCTTCAGAGGATGATCTAGGAACTGTTTCTGCTCAGCCAACATTCTGGTGGCCTGTGGCTGGCAGCCGGGGTACAGGGCCCCAACGGGACAAGTGACTTGTTACAGGAAAACTTAGCAACACAGGCTAAAGAAAGTAGTAATGGCAGAGGGAGGCCGGCCCTCACTTCATGTCCCTCTTTCCACCCCATTTACCCACTCCTTTTTTTTTTTTTTTTTTGTCCTATTGAAAAGCAGCTGATTTTTATTTATTCATTCATTTTTTGTACTTACCTAAAGTTCTCGCCTTGAACACACCAGGATCTCATATAGGCGCTGGTTCTAATCCTGGTGGTCCCACTTCCCATCCAGCTCCCTGCTTGTGGCCTGAGAAAGCAGTCGAGGACAGCCCAAAGTCTTGAGACCCTGCACCCGCGTGGGAGACCTGGAGGAGCTCCTGGCTCCTAGCTTCAGATTAGCTCAGCACAGACTGTTGCTATCACTTGGGGAGTGAATCATCGAAAGATCTTCCTGTCTCTCCTCCTCTCTATATATATCTGACTTTGCAATAAAAAATAATAATTTAAAAAAAGCCATATGTCCATCATTGCGGGCATGAAAAATGGCAAAGAGTCCTGCATCCTATTGTCAAGATATAGTTAACAGTTTCGGGCCCAGTGGCATGGCCTAGTGGCTAAAGTCCTCACCTTGAACGCCCGGGATCCCATATGGGCGCCAGTTCGAATCCCGGTGGCCCTGCTTCCCATCCAGCTCCCTGCTTGTGGCCTGGTGTCGCTGTCCCGCAGCGACGGACTTGGTGCACGGAGCCGATAATAACACGCGTGGACCCTGACTGATGGTCAAAGCCGAAGTTTATTAGGGGCATCAGACTTTATATTCTGAAAGTCCGTATTGGGTAGGGGAGGAAGTATCGAGCTCATAAACAAAACCATCAACTTTTCACACTCTATATTGGAATTCCTTTTGTCTTGTATATCGCGCTAGGTGTTCTCATTTACATGCTGTTTATACCAAAGGTAGCCATTTGGTTATTGCCATGCAAATACTGTCCAATGAACTGCAAACCTGTGCTCGCTGGCCTTCCAGGCTCACAATGTCCTCCTACAGCCTGGGAAAGCAGTCGAGGATGGCCCAAAGGCTTGGGACCCTGCACCCGTGTGTGAGACCTGGAAGAGGTTCCTGGATCCCGGCTTCAGATCGGCACAGCACCGGCTGTTGCGCTCACTTGGGGAGTGAATCATCGGACGGAAGATCTTCCTCTCTGTCTCTCCTCCTCTCTGTATATCTGACTTTGTAATAGAATAAATAAATCTTAAAAAAAGAAAAGATATAGTTAACAGTTTCATTGCGAGTCCATCTTGGATCTGGAAATAGAGATGCATACTGCATTGTATCCTCACATCTGGATATAATAATCTCCATTACAAAGTTACTGTACATCCCCTTAAATGAAAAGCCACAAAATAAAATCAACGACAGGAAGAAAAGAATAAGTTAAAAATGCCATGAAGTTAAATAACATGCTACTGAATGACTAATGTGTCGCTGAAGAAATCAAGAACCTTCTTGAAGAAAAGGATGCTACTGTATGATCTATAAGTCACTGAAGAATTTAATGGGAAAGCAAGTGTTTTGAGGAGATAAAACTAATTCTAAAAAATCAAAATCAATGAGATATAGTTTCTGCTTATCTTTGTTGGTGAGATATGTCTTCTGTAGGCAACAAATAGATGGGTTTTGTTTTTTTAATCCAGCTACTAATCTAAAATGTTTGATTGATGAGTTTAAGTCATTTACATTCAGGGTTAATACATATGGGTGGTAATTTGGTCCTGTCATTTTAGCAGTGAGTTGTTCATTGATTTAGTCTTCTGTTGTTATTTTACTTGGATGTTCTTCACATTTACCTTTGGTTTTGGTGGGTGCTATTCCTCTTCTCTGCCAAGAGAACATCTTTAAATGTGCTTTGTATGGCAGATTTGGGAGAGGCAAATTCTTTTAACATTTCCTTACTGTGGAAGAATTTTATTGCATTTTCAAAGACAAAGGAAAGCTTTGCTGGGTAGGTTATCCTGGGCCAACAACTTTTTGCTTTTAGAATTTGGAATATGTCACTCCATTCTCTTCTGACTTGTAGAATTTCCTGTGAGTGGTTTCCTGTGAGTTTAATTGGCATTTCTTTATATGTCAATAGATTTTTTTTCCATGTGCACATTTAAGGATCTTCTTCAATTTGATTGAAGAGAGCTTGATGATCATGTGTCATGATGAAGATCACTTTTGGTCAAGCCTGTTGGGAGTTCTGTGCCCCTCCTGGATGTTGTTGTCCAATTCTTTCTCTAGATTAGGGAAATTTTCCCTTATTATTTCATTGAATACACCCTTAATCCCAGCTTCTCTTTCTGCATCTTCTGGGACTCCGATAAGTTATATTTGGCCTTTTAATGGTGTCTTTCAGTTCTTGAATACTTTTTTTTAGCCTGACCCAGCTCTGTTTCCAGTTTTTTGTTTGTTTCCTCCTGGTGACAACATATATCTTCCAACCCTGAGATTCTTTCTTTGCTTGCTTCATTCTATTTTGGAGATGCTCCACTGTACTTTTAATTTGCTCTACTATATTCTTCATTTCTAATATATCAGCTTTCATTTGATTAATTTTCTGTGTGACATATTCCTAAAATTCCTTGAACTTTTATATTATGTGTTTCTCATTGTTGATAAGAAGTTTTATAACAAGTGTTTTAAAACATTTTCCTGATGTTTTCCTCAGTGAACTCTGAGATTTGCAGGGGAGTCTTCAGTAATATTCATTGTGCCTCTGTCTCTTCTTTTGCTCTTGGTCATTGTACTTCTGGTTAGCAGATTCTTCTTCTTGGGAAAGATTTCTAAACTGTGTCACCCACAGATCTACAGTTCGATTTTACTTATTGCAGTTGATACATAGCTCTTTGTTTGCAGTCAGTTGTGCCACTGCCTCCAGCGAGTTCCAGGTCTGGGTTTTTATGTTAGATTTCCAGCATGGTCTCTGTAGCCTTAGCTCCTGGCCCACAATTCTCCACTTCCTGTAATACTGTGCTGAGGCTACACCCTTTGTATAATCTTTCTCTTACTTCCTGTTAGAACAGTTCCCAGGATTAGGGAGAGACCAGGTGTCCTATATAACTAGATTGTTGGTGGTGTTGATCTTGCCGGAACCTGTTGGCTTTGAGGTCTGAGGGTCACATGGACCTATTTTGACCAGTATGATGCCAACATCTATCAACTTATTTTCTCTGTGGGGCCAGTGCAATGCCCTGAGCTCAGTGAGTTCGTTCCCAGCTCAGTGCATGCGCAGTTCACTTTTGTTCCTGTAGTCTTTTTTTTTTTAAAGATTTATTTTATTTTTATTGGAAAGGTGAATATACAGAGAGGAGAGATAGAAAGGAAGATCTTCTGTCCGATGATTCACTCCCCAGGCGGCCACAATGGCTGGAGCTGAGCCAATCCGAAGCCAGGAGCTTCTTCCAGGTCTCCCACGCGGGTGCAGGGTCCCAAGGCTTTGGGCCTTCCTCGACTGCTTTCCTGGGCCACAGGCAGGGAGCTGGATGGAAAGTGGAGCTGCCGGGATTAGAACCGGCGACCATATGGGATCCTGGGGCGTTCAAGGTGAGGCCTGGCCGTGCCAGGCCTGTCCCTGTAGTCTTAAAGTCTTTCCACATTGTATAAAATGGCACCTGATGTGCCCCTTCTGGACTTCTTGATCTGCTGGCCATCAGGTCTGAGGGCTACCTGTCCCTATCCTGGGTAGAACCTGCAAGATGCCATGTTGTTGCAGTTCACTGTGCCAGAAATGAGTTCACTCCCAGCTCAGTGCATATGCAGTACTGTCCCATAGCCTTTGCCTCCCTATACAAAATGGCATCCGATTTGGCTCTAGGGCGTGAGCTGGGCTATGAAATCTACCCTGTTTCCACACTGCCCATTTGGGACCTGCCACTCTGTCTCTGGTCCTGGTCAAATCAAACAGACCAGCAGGACAGGCAGTTCTTTGTCTGGGTTCACCTCCTGAGCTCTCAGTGAACACCCCTTTCCACCTTGTTGCTGTTGGAGTTCTGGCTACTTGTGTAGTTCAAATCATAGTTCACTGAATGCCTTTTGGGTATTAATCACTGCACCACCACACTGTTGTGTCTACTGCTTTCCTGTGTCTGACAGTCTTTGGGTACCCCTCTGCTGTCATTCTGTCCTCTCCCATTTCCTAGAATGTGCCTTCTC